CCAAGTCAGGGCCAGATCGGGTGCCGAGGGGAGTCAGGCCAGCGGCTCTGTGTCATCCCCTGACGTGGGCAGACTGTCCCTGGACCAGGCCCAGGTCATGGCCCCTCTCTGCTTGTGCTGGGTGCCGGTGCTGTCCTGGGTCTCGGAGCCCTGAGCTGCTCGTGCTGCCTTCCAGGGCTCCTTCCGTTCCTTGTCTCACTTCTCCTTGGGCCCCAGATTGCTTCCTCGTCCTGAATGCAGCCAGGGCTCCATGATGCTGAGGGATGATGACAGCACGCATGACTACATGCCCTTCCTGTCAGGACAAGGGTCCCCCTATATAGACCTACGTGGCCCCATCTTCTGAGGCTGCCCTGCAGCCGGACAGATCAGGGAACAGGGGTGACATGGACACCCAGCTCCCCGCTCAGGCGGCACTAAGCTGTCTGTGATGAGCGTGTTCTGGGTCTCAGCCCCAGAGTCCCCAGGAGGCAAAGCTGTCACCCTGGAGCCGTGACTGGGTGCTGTCCTGCAAGCACACGTGTAGAAAGCTTTTTGTTCGCAAGCAGATATCGCAGTGCTGTCTGGAGGTAAAGGGCCGCAGGAGGAATGATGCTGGGGAGGGGACACAGCTGAATAAACCTGCAGAGGGAATTTCACCCTAAAAATCACATTCCAAGTAGGATTTAATGGCCCAGAAAACAGCCCAAAATATATTATGAAGTCAAAAGAATAGAAATAGCAAAGCTTTTCACTGCGTTTTATCACTAATTCTGAATACAATATACTAATAGGAAAAAGACTAGACTACACTTCATCAAAATGTTCATAATGGTTATTCTGAAGAATGTAAAATTGTATGTTCTATTTTATCATCTTCTTTATAGATTATAGCATTTTTCAATTTTGTGCAAGTAGTGAAAACAATTCAATTATCAAGAAAAACAACTATCTAGGAAGAGACTATAAAATCTATTCTCAAAAGGAGTTTTTAGGTTGACGGTAGAATCCATCTTGACCCTGATGGTCTAGCGCAGTAGAGCGCAGGGTTTGTGAGTGTTCATTGCTTGGGTATTTTTAAATTTAAAGCCTGCTCAGTGTGTCTGCTGCATCTCGGGCTTGACTGTCAGCCTCGGCAGCTCAACGAGACAGGTGTCGACGTGGCCAGAGACCGCAGGGGCTCTGATGATGGAGTACTAGGGTCCCCCACACTTGGTCTTTCTAGTCTGGTTCTTTTGAAAGGGTCCCAGAGTGATGTAATCACTCAAGAAGACATTGTGGGAGTGTAGCTCGTGCCACGTCCTGGCTCAGATACTGAGGATACAGAAATTAATGTTTCTTTCTAAGACAAATTGCGCTAAACTATGTGCAGTCACAACATGGTGTAGCAAGAATTACAGCCACGCAGAGCGAAATTACCGTCTCTAGGGCTGCGGGAAGTCCTTCACGGCATAAGTGGTCTCTGAACAAGGTTTTGAAGGATAAGTAAGAGTGATCTATATGAGGAAGCAGGAGAGATGCCTCTCTAGGCAGAGGGGATAATATCAGCACAGGTAAACAGCTGAGATGCTTGCCTGATGTGTGGGGAAGATTCACAGAAAACAGATGGCTGATGAAGTAAGACGGGCCAGGTGAGGGAGTGCAGGGCCGAGGCTAGTTTGCAGAGGAAAGGGAGCCCTCAAGTCACCCCCACGGCAGTGTAGAGCAGGAGTGGAGTCAGCATAGACACGCTTATTGTCTGCTGTGCACACGTGCCCACTCCCCGTGCTAAATGCAATCCTGGGCACCACTAGCTCGCAGTAATAAACGTAAAACATGCTTATCCTCCAATAGCTTATGAGGTCTGCTGATAGAAATGCCCTCATAAGCCACAGAATAACTTCGTTAACTTACTTAGCACTGATCCTGCATGCTTGGCTCTGGTTTAGGCATCATGGGAAAAAAGATAACAACTTACAGCACATGGAATAGGAATGAACGGAGATTTTAAAAATAGCATTGTGACAAAAGGCCAAACATGTGGCAAAGGTGAAATAATAAAGCTCCCTGAGGCTCCTCCACATGCAGGACAACCTATAGCAGCATGGGGAGGCGACCACCCACTGCCCGGCCTTGGTGGCGCAGGGTGTGTCCAGTGGGGGAGGCGTAGCCGGATGTCTTCAAGGAAGAAAGGAACAACAACCAAGTGCCCAAGGGAGAGAGAGCTGGGGAGAGAGAGGGACAGGGAGGGAGGAGGGGGGAGGTAAACGGAGGAGGGGGGACACAAGAAGGGAGGGCAGGGAGGGGGAGAGAAGGGGAAGAGGCAGGAGGGGGGGAAGAGTGTAATTGAAAGAACATTAACTGGCTCCAGCTGAAGCTGAGCCCCAGCCACGTTCCAGTTCCGTGACCTCCCTCTGCAGAGCCTCTGTCTATCTCCCTGTGCCTCAGGATTTTTGCGAAGGCCTCATTGGGTGCTCTGAGGATTCACTGGGAAGCCCTTAGGGTGGTCAGGGTGCATCTGGGCAACTGTTAAGCCTTAGCAATCCCTGCTGCTGAGGTCCAGGGTGCTGCGCCCCGAAGGAGGTTGTGGGAGGAAAAGGAGGGAGGCGCATTGGAGGCATGAGACTCTTCCCCCCGCCTGGCTCCCCCCCTCCCTCCCTCCTCTCTGTCCTCCCTTCCTTTCTTCCTTCCACAGCTTCACTGAGTGGCCTCCTATGCTGGCACTGTTCGGATCCTGTGTGTTTCGGCAAGCTGTGCTGAGCAGGATCTCTCTTCAGAGGATGACCCTCCACTGCAGGAGACAAAAGATAGTTTTGTCCCAGGTAGCACTGGCTGTTATGAAGTGAGGTGTTTTCCTGGAAACAGTCCCAGCATCAATGGGGAGTAAGAAAGGACTTGGGCACGGGGGCAGGACTCCTGCGAGGGACAATGTGGAGAGTGCAGGAGCTGTCCTGGTTGGAAAGCCAGCCCTGTATGATGGCTGAGGGCAGCCTCCCTTGGGTGGCATCACCCCTTTGCCCTCAGCTCTTGCAAGGGGGCAGACCCTGAGCATGTCCTCGTCTGTCTAGCATCTCTACAGAGCAAATGGAGCTGATGACCTGTGTGTGCTTGAGGGTGTCATGGGTCAGTTCACCAACCCCTCACCCAGGCTATGTGTGACCCAGCCCAGAGGACCCCAGAGTTCAGGTGCAGGGGGCAGGCATGATGGTACAAGACATGTGTACATACCCTGTCCTTGATATGAGGACAGAGTCAGGGCTGACTTTGTGTCTACCCAGCGATGCTAAAGTTGCCAGAGTTCACATGCTGGTCTAGAAGCTTCTGTGGAATATTTTATGTTGGAGTCTCATGAATCAGCAGACTCTGAGTACCACAGAATGCGTTGGCCTCGTGCGTCCAGTGCTTGAGCCTAAAGGAGCAGGCTCTGACCCGGGGAGGCAGTGGGAGCTTGTCACTTGAGCTCTGCAGCAGCATCTGATCTTCCCGGGGTCTCCTGGCTGCTCATGACCAACGCAGAGAACAGAAGCCTCCTCCATTCATCCAAGGGATGCAGCTCAGCGGTCACCTCCAGGAACAGCACCCCAGGAGCCTCACCTTAGGTTGGATACTGCCGCCATCACTTCTGTAGATGATCGTGATCACCTCCAATTCACATTTCCATGCCTAGCACCCCGCCAAGGTCCTGGTCACTCAGGAGCCCACACACCCAGACGGCAGCACAATTAGAAGCTCTGTACGGGGCGGGCTCTGCGAGTCTCCTCTGGGTGCAGTTAGTCTCTGCAGCACCACACAGCTGCCACCGCATTCTGACTGACTTGACTAAGTGTCCTCACTGTCCGCTGCAGTCTGGGTTGGTTACAGAGACGGTATGAGCCACAGGGTGAGTTTTGCCCACCCAAAGTTCACACACTGAAAGCTCATACCCCAATGCTTTACTTTACGGTGGGGCTTTGTTTGGAGGTAGGGTCTATGTAACAAAAGCCAAGTTACGTGAGGCCATTTGGGTGAGCAGTCAGCCAACAGCACTGGATCCTCAGTCCTGCTGGGGAAATTTGGGCACTGATAACACAGAGATCACAGGCAGTGTGAAAAGACTTGTCCATCCCGGAGTGGAGGAGACAGGCCTGGAACAGAGCTTCCCCCACTGCCCTCAGAAGAAGCCAACCCTGTGGAGCCTGGGTTTGGGGCTTTTAGCCCCGGGACTCTGAGCCCAGGCACCTCTGCCCTCCCTGACAGAGAGGGCAGTGCTTAGAGACGGACACCCTCGCAGTCAGATATAGGACAGATCCTTCCTGTCCACTCATGCACTTGGCTGCCTGTGTCGCTCTGCAAGGCCAACCTTTAAGGAAGAAGATGAATGCCCAAGTCATGGCTCATTGTCTTCCTTGCTTCTTATCCCAGTCGGAGAGTGACCGGGAATTACCGTCTCAGAGAACAACATTGGCTCATAGCTGACATCCGGTAGGCAAATGAATGAGCGGATGAGTGAATGTGCTTGCTGCAACTCCTCCAGCGAGGAAAATCAAGCTTCCAGTGCTGCTGGGCTCAGCCCTCTCCACCCTCAAGAGCAGCTCCCGTTAAAGCTGCGGCATTCGGGACCCTTGAGCACAGTGTCTGCGTCTGCCGCCTTCCCCTGCTTGGAAACACCCGCTTCTTCTGGGGCACTGAGCTTTCTCCTGCTTGCTGCTCCTCCCTGCAGCCTGGCCTCACTCAGCCCAGGGAGTAATGCCCGTGAGTCTTAAAGGGAGAGAAGTTATTGACCACTGAGCCTGAAAAAGACTCTGGAAGATGTTTTTGTCCAAAGTCTTCACTCCCAGAGAAGGTTGCAGTTTTCAAAATAAGCTGTGAATGTGGGTACCAGCGCTAATACAATTATGAGGGCATTTGTCAGATGTTTCACCATGATTTTATTTCATGCTACCTTAAATCACATGAGGAAAGTCGGAGAAGGAGCGATCACTGGTCCTGGCGTGGGGGCCTGGTGAGAGCTGTCTTTGCCGCTCCTGTCTATTACGTTCGTGGGGACCCCGTCTTCTCACTGTCCTGGTCTCCCTTATGTGAAATGGGACAAAGGAGACACCTTGGTAAGCCGTGAAGAGCCAGAGTGCAAGAGATGTTTTAAAATTATAAAATGCTCCAGAAACACAAAATATGGTAGTTTTTGACTATGGCTTTTTCTAAGTTGACTTTTAAAAATTGCTATCAGAAAAACAGGGCTAGTTTTTTAAAGGAACTTTATTTTAAGTAAGATTTGGGTAAGTTTATGGCAACTGTACAGAATGCCAGCTGGACTCAGAGAGAAGCTTAATATATCACAGATGCCACAAATATCACGGCATCATCGATGTGGCCTTGAAATGTGAGACATGTTTGTCTGCGAGCATCTGCCTCCCCACCACTGAGTTGCTGTTTAAAGGAATACGTCCTCCATCTGCCCCTTCATGTCTTATTTACATTTCCTGGTGTGGAAAGTTCTCAGCGAATAATATGGGCCCACGGCCAGCCGCAGGTTCGGGTGGGGAGACAGAGCTGTCCACAGAACTCGCTTCGGCCCAGGAAGCTCAGACTCAGGTGGAGGAGACGGTGGAGATGTAGGCGAGCATAGCACAGGAGGTAAGAGCAGAAGCAGCAGAGGCAGAGCTGGGGACGGACTGGGAGACGCAGGCAGGGAAGGGGCGCGGGAGGGAGGAGCTGGGCCCAGCAGGGGCGAGGGAGGGAGGAGCTGGGCCAGCACGAGGCGGAGCGCAGCGGCATGTGTCCTCCGTGTGTCATGGGACAGCACAGAGCTGTGTGCTGACCGCCGTGGGCCGCAGGGCCCGGAGAGGAGGGCTGCGGCTCACGGAGCGGGGCTGGTGTGGCCTAGCGGCCCTGCAGGGCATGAGCTGGTGTCAGGATGGTCTTTGGGAGGGCGTTGAACGGTTTGGAGTGAGACAGGATGATCCAGTTCACATTTTTAAAATTTAAATAATGTGTAACACAAAAGCTGAGGTGAACCACTCATTTGATGAGTATAAATGCATGATACTGTTTATGAATGTGACACAAAATTAAATATGTAGGGGAAGGAGCAAGAGCAGGTTAGTGGGTGATCTCTTTAATTTTTATGAATTTAAATTGTTCTTACAGTAAGTTCTGCTCACTTCAGCAACTCCCAAGTCTACAGCCTGTGTTACCAACTGTGAGGGATCAAATGTTGTGCTCATGTAGAACACCTCAATGATATTTAGCGATCCTTTAAAAATATGAGCTGGCAAGCAGGGGTCTGGGCAGCCCTGTGAGCCCTACGTTACCTTGTCTTTATAGTCAGCTGTGGGGGACACAGGAAGCAGGGAGGCCGCCGCGTCCTCTGCGTCCTCTGTGCTGAGATGGAAGCAGGGCCGGGCGGAGGTGGTGAGCCACAACTCGAATCGTCCAGGTCGGTCGCGGTGCCTCAGGAACAGAAAGGGGCCACTGCCTCAGTGGCTTCAAAAGCAGCACTTTATTCCTCCCTAAGGCGCAGTGTCTCACGGAGAGACTGGCTCTGACCCACACTGTCGTTCTGAAAGGCTCAAGCTGGCAAAGCGGCTCCCACTTGGAGTGATGCCAGTTATGAAAGAGACATCGGCCAGGCCTGGTCACCGAATTCCTCCCGTGCAGCAGAGCAAGGACAGGAATTGCCCCACCGGGAGCAGCATCTGAGAGGACGCAGACAGGACAGGCTGGGAGCAGGACAGTGGCTCCCTGCGTGGTCAGGTTCAGGGTTGCTCTGAAGGCGGAGGCACTGGATTTGCCAGTAATCTGAGCCGGCAACAGCATAGCAAACAAAGGGTGACCTTGAGGGTCCCACTGGCCAACTGGAAGTGTGGAATCCTGATTTTCTGAGGCAACCGAGCAAGGCGTGGGTGTCCAGCCTTGAAGGGCTCTTGGACAGCCAAGCAACAAACAGTAAAGATGCAGCTGGATTCAGAGTTCTGCGGTTGAAAGAGGAAATTCAGGTTGGTGATACAGATCTGAGAGTCCCACTCAGTGTGGAAAGTGTGTAAAAATGGGAAACATCATGCAGGACTAAACATGATTGGGTCACTCAGCCATGAGAGCGATGAGGAAGATAGGTCTCAAACTGTGAGCACAGACCTATGCCACAGAGTTGCGCTGACACCTACGCCCTCCTCAAGCCTAAGCCTGCTTCTGTTCCAGGGCCCATGTGGGTGCTTTGGGTTCCCCAGCAGCCAGGCTGGTGGTGTGTACCTCAGGTCGGTCTGCAGCACCTGCCTGGATGATTCTCCATTCATCTTCATCTGTCTGTCTGTCTGTCTCTCTTTCTCTCATCATACTATTACTACTGCCGCCCAGGTCTCTCTGACACCCAAATCCAAACCATTCCAAAAAATTCCAGTCTCTTCCACACAAAAAACTACACCCCTGCCCTTCTATGAAGTAGGTTTATTATTTAACTGGTACAAAGATTAGCAATATGCCAATAAGACCAAGGCTGGGCATGAAGACTTTCAGATGGGGACAGTTTAGTGTCCAGCGCAATGACCGGGTCCCGGCAGGAGCTTCCCTGGAGCCCCGAGCCGTCCTCTAGCTTCTGGAGGTTGTGCACGCAGACCAAGTCCAATAGGCAATTTCTGCACCACCGCTGTGCCTCCAGCACCCTGCCAAGCATCCTGGAGGACACAGCGTCCTCGAGGGCACCGCCTCCCTGCACTAAGGGAGCGCTTGCCCCCACGGGTAGTCAGTTGCACTGTGAAGCAGCCCCTTTGGAAACTTTCCCTAATAAAGTTTCCCAAAAAGTTCTAGGAAAGAAGACTTTGAATGCCCACACCACAGAAGAGTTTAAAGCCATGGCCACGCTAATGTACCTGGCTGGATTGTTACAGTGTATACGCGCTTGAAACTCCACCTTGTACCCCACACATGTGCACGAATGTGGATCAAGCAAAATTAAAATAAGCATAGCAAGCTGTGCTCCTAGGCCCTTGCCATCCATACATTATGAAGTGTCAGAGGGGGAGGTGCAGGCAGGAAGGAAGTTTCCTCTCCCCTGGCAACTCCCCTCGCCAGGCAAGGAAGTCCCCCGTTTGAAGGTGGCAGTGCACATCACAGACCATACACTGTGCTGTGCTGTGCAGTGTCTCCAGGCATCTTCCGGAATGTCTTGTAAATGCCCACGAGCCTTCCCCCAGCACAATCTCCATGCTTGGAGTTGGGAGCTGAGCTGGAGCCCTTGATGCGCATCCACTGGGTCTTCCCTCTTCCCTGCGGGTGTATTGACAGCGTGTCGCTATTTACATGCTCACGCCTGGAACAGCAAGCCAGGCAGGTTGGGATCACAGGACCTGCTGGGACTTGAGGGAAGTGGGATCTGCTGATGGAGCGACAGAGGAGGCTGTGCGCTAGGCCAGCTACAGATACCCGCCTCTGGAATAAAAACTGCAGCTTAAACAACGTAAGCTTGCAGTTACTTCTTTCCTTTTCCTCAGCTTTTGTTTTCCTTGGTACAGGTTGGTCATACACAATGTTTGCATGCCTTAATGGGAAAGTGGTGCACCTCCATAACACATCCGAGCGCCTTTGCTCACCTGCTCCCTCCCTTCCTCACCCCTCTATCTATCTGATTCTGTTCCCATTCGAAAATGACCTGCAGCAGCTCCATCCTTCCTAGTATCTGTGTAAATTTGGTTTTCTCATATGGGAGAAATTCAGGCTTGCATGTCTGATTTATTTCTCTCACACTTTAATCTTCAGGTGCGTTCATTTCCCCACAAATGACTCCAGTTTACCCATCTTTACAGCAGCCTTCACTCCACTGCGCAGATAAATACCACGTTTCCTTCACCCACTCATCTGGTGATAGACGTGCAGGCTGCTTCCATGGCTCAGCTGTTAGGAGCCGCACTGCTGTAAACACGGGTATGTGTGGACCACTGTAACCTGAAGCCTACCTCCTTCAGGAGGATATGTGGAGAGGGAATAGCTGGGTTGAAAGGAATTTCTAGCTTTGGTTGTTGAGGAGTTTCCGTCCTGATTTCCATAGCATACTAGCAGGCCTACTAGTTTACAGTCTCATCAGCAATGTAGAGGGTTTCTTTTCACCCACAGGCTCGCCAACATTTGTCATCATTTGATTTCTTGATGATGGCCATTTTTTTCTAGAGTAAGATTCTTTCAGTGTTGTTTGAATTTGTATTTCTCAAATGTCCAACAAGCTGTACATTTTTAATGTATTCTATTCATGTATTATTTGTACTCTTCTTCTGAGAAGTGTCTGTTTCAAGTGGCTCCAAGCCATTTTCAGATTGGGTCTTTCATTTTGGGGGAGTCTGTGTGTTTGAGGTCTGCATGTTCCTCTAATTCTGTGAGAAATGCTTTAGCCCTCTGTCTGAAGAATAGCTGGCAAATTCCCCCACCCATTCTGTAGGTTGTCTCTGCATTCTGTTGGTCATTTCCTTTCCTGTACAGAGCTTTTTAATTTTATATGATCCCATTTGTGATTCTCAGTATGTTTTCTGCCTCTGAGGTTCTGTTCATAAAGTCCTTGCCTATGTCTTCAAGAGTTGAATCTATTTTATCTTCTAGTAGGTCAAATATTTCTGTTCTAACACTTAAATCTCTGATTCATTTTTATTTTTTTTAGTACATAGTAAGATAGGTGAGTCTAAACTTAATCTTGTTCATGTAGCTAGCAAAGTGGTCCCCAGGACTATTTATTAAAGAGACTGTCTTTCTTTCAGTGTGAGCAAATAGTATGTCTGGGTTGGTTTCTGCATCTGCTAGCTGGCTCTATTGATATGCATGACTATTTTTGTGCTAGCACCTTGCTGTTTTTATAATACACTTAAATCTGGAACTGAGATGTCCCCTGCTTTGCTCTTGTTCCCCAAGACTGCTTTGGCTGTTGTGGTACTCTTCTGGTTCATATAAACTTTAGCATTTTTTCCCTCTAATTCTATGAGAAATGCTGTTGATATTTTGAGTTGAACGGTTTTAAGTCTGTCTATTGGTTTTGAAAGTATGGCCATTTTGACAATATTGGTACTGTTTATCTGGACAACTTTCCATTTTCTGATGTCCTCTTCAATCTCCTTTTCCAGGTACTATGTTTCCTTTGTTAGTATACCGTTTTTCATCATTGATGCTATCATAATGGATTGCTTTTCGATTTCATTTCCAGTGAGTTCACTAATGATTGATATCCTGCTGCTTTGCTGAATTTGGTCATTAGTGCTAGGAGCTTTTTGCCGGAATTGTTTTTGGATCCTGCTCTATATAAAGAATCATGTTTTCTGTAAATAATGATGATTTTACTTATTAATTTCTTATAAAAGGAAAGGCCATAGTTTCGGGGATCATTCCTATAGCGCGTTACTAAACGGGGTGATGTGTGTCGTCACCTTGTCTTGCTCCTCACCTTAGAGGAGAGGCTGTCAGTTTTCCCCCATTTAATATGAGTGGCTCTTGTCAGATTGAGATAAGGTCATACTCTAACTTTTGTCTTCGAGGGTTTCATCATGGCAGGTGCTGAATTTTGTCAGAGGCATTTCCTGCATCTATCGAGATGATCATCTGATTGGCGTACTTGTTTCTTTTTATGTGATGTATTACATTTACTGACCTGCGCATGTTTAACC